ATCAACCGTCGATGCATTCTATCAACCCCAAGCCGATAAGTACCTATGGAGCCAACAACCCTCCGATATTCAACCCCAGAGTCAAGCCTTGTATATAGACTCCTGATCAACTTCAAAAATTTAGTCCAGAGGATATTTTAACCCTCAAACACCCATATTCTGTGTTATTCTACCATGTTGCATGCTATTGACCTAGGTTGTGTGCATTCAAAGAAAGTAAAAAAGGGGAGGGGTGTAAGTTGTCCTCCACACTAGATGTGCCAAAGATAAAAGTAATTGCTTGTTGCTCTTAGATGATTATAATTGCTCCTCAGTCTGCCAATCAGAGGTCAACCACTTCTCAATAAAAGCCTTGGTTAGCACCAAGTGAAAAGGGCTTTTAATTATCCCGTTGAGACATGGAACTTTTAGAATAGTGTATGGAGTCTCGTTTACCTCTTCTTATTCATCCCTTTTTCTGTTGCTGCGTGAAAGATAATTATGAACCTTCAATGCACATTTTAACTTTTATAATGGGTTTATCACCTTGATTACTTCACAGGTGTAGGTTACAAGTTGAATTACATACATTCTGATCTATGTATTTCATTATTCTCATGTTCTCCGTACTAGATACTACCAAAGATAGAAGTAAACGTTTGTCACTCTTAGATGATTACAATGGCTCCTTAGGCTGCCAATTAGAGGTCAATTGCCTCCCAATAAAACTTTCATTAGCACGAAGTGAGAGAACTTCTAGTAATCTTGTTGAGACATGGAACTCCTTTAATAGGGAACGGAGTCCCTTTTTTGCCCTTTTTCATCCCTTCATTGCTTCTAAATGTGAACCTTGTCTACACATACAATTTTCCTTTTATAGTAGACTTCCTCACCTTGATCTACTTTGTAGATGCAGGCTACTAAGTTGAATCATGTTCAGTTTGCTCTATGTATGCCATCATTCTCCTCTTTTTTTTTAAGAATGTGGCAACCTTTTTTGAAGCTCTTGAGAAAATCTCTATAAGACATCTATTAGTTTTCTCTTCACTCAGTCATCTCACTTTTTTTTTTCTCTCGATCCTGGAATAATCTTGAGTGAAATGATTGCCCTCTCCCTCCCTTTCTTATGCCATTTGGAAGCACTATTTCGGTGGTGGGAAGCACTTTTCATCAGTTAACTTTTTTTTTGGGTGTATTGATGCTTCTTCGGCTTCGAAGTAAAATTATGCTTGTGTGAACCTCTTCATCATCCTTAATCTGTTTTATATTAACAACAAACTTTACGTGCAAGCTTGCATAACTTAAGTGTGCTGGGAATGACATCTCAGTTGCTGGTATCTTTGTTGTCGGAAATTGGAGCAGGTCAGTTTGAACTCTCTAGTCATTCAATCAAGGACAACTTTTGAAATTAAGATAACAATCATCATAGTTAACACTAATTAAGAATAGTGTCATTCTGCTGATTGGGAAATCACGATGAGTTAGCGGTTGGATTTACTAATTGCTAATGTCCTGACTGCATGCATAACCTTGGTAAATAGATTTTGATGAAAAGATGTTGGCCTCGACATGTTGGGTCAAGCCACGCCTTGCTTGTCAATCAAGTCAACTAGAGGCTACCCTCCTAAATGATAGATGGAGAACCTTAATGATTTGTTTCATGATTGCCATACGATTTACCTCATGTTTTTTCTCGGGTTCCACCCTCCATTAATTGGTCCATTTGAAAAGTAATTGTTCCAGTAGGAATTGACCCAATGGAGGTCCTTTGACTCTGAAACAATAGGTTCTAAACTTGCTTGGTTGGTCTCCCGTCTTCTTGGATCCATTATGGTTATGTGAAAAAGAAGCATCATCTGTATCTACTCCAAGATATGCCACGCCCAACCATATGCCACCATTCCTAACACGCTTATTGTTAAACCATGCTAATGTAGGAAGGTTGACATGTTATACCGACGCACTTGCTAGGTTGGTATCGACCTCTTGTTGGATCCATTATGGTTATGCAAAAAGGTTGACATGCTATCCTAACACACTTATTGATAACCCTGCTAGGTTTGTCTCCCCCTCTTGTTGGATCCATTGTGGTTATATAAAAAGGAAGCATTGCCTATATCCACTCCAATATATATTCCACAGCCAACCATATACCACGATTCCTAAAACCACTTATTGATAAACCATGCTAATGTTGGAAGGTTGACATGCTATACCAATCTCTTCCAATTAGCATAACTTATTTCCTTACATGTCTAGGCATGTAGCAATGAAAGCTAGGAATGGCTTATACAAGAATTTCCTTTTTGTGTGAGATAGCGTGTTAGTTATTGCTTCCATGGAAAAGTTATTGAATTGATATGAGCAAAACTCAAAAGATATTGTTATTCCTTAGCATGTTGACCTTCTTTAGTGTTCGAGATTCAAACAAAAGTTTTAATTATTTTCAAACTTTCATAGGTTTCAAATTTTTTTTCAAGAAACATATCCATAACTTTCTTGAATGATATCATTAATAAAAGACAAATTCTTTACTCTTATATGTGACTCACTTCTTGCAGTATACTACAGATCTAAATGCACTTATAAAAAAAATCCCTTAGATTTATGTTTTGAAGTAACGTTTTGGTTTTTTTTCCACCACAGATGTTCTTACGATTCAAATATGTAGGCTTCTTGTTCCCAGAGAACTTTTGTTTGCACAGTTCTTGTAGCTCTCTTTGACTTTCATGTCACAATTTTTAATGTCACAGCATGGTTTCATTAACAAGATTACAGATTTCTGTTATGATGATTGAAGAGTATTTGCACACATTTAGGCTTTTATCATCACATTTAAAATTGCTACCGCTGCGATTTAATTCACCAGGGAAATCAAGTTTCTTCTAAACATAGAAACACATTCATCATCCTTGAGTAGTCTCTGTGCCATAATTGGGGTTTGACTCAAATGGCTCATTCACTTTGAACTTTGCTTGCCCTGTTGTTTCCAAAATACACAATGCCACATTCTTTTTTGTTCAGAAACTCTATCCAACTCCTATTTGTGTCATATTATAGGAGCACCAAGAGTTTTTATTATGTCCCTTATTTGAATTTTAATTCAGGATTAATAGGACCTTGACACTGTCATACCCTCTCTTTGTTGGTGCCACATCTCCTCCATCTTTGACTTTTTCTTGGCTCGTCTTTTTCTCTGGGAACTACTTTTTAAAATGACTTTCTTATGAAAAAGAAAATATTTTCTTCATTCCTTTGACATGGAGCTTGAATTGGTTATTGGTTTCTACTTCCTTGCACAATTAGCCCTTCAACTACATTATCTTGTTTAGATTCAACATTTCTTTTAATTTCTTTTGAATTTAGTGCAATTTTTACTTAGACATAGCCAAGAAATTATTTTCATAAAACAATGTAAAAAAATGCTCATGCCAACTTGGTAATGAACTTAAGAGCATAACTATTTAATTTCATCTTTTATTCTCATAACTTAGGGATGGTGGAATCACTACTTCCTCTAGGCGTGATCATCACCTTGTTCTCACATGTTCTCTTTTTCTAGCATAACAAAGTAACGCATCTCTTCAAGAATTGTTTTAATAGCACCTCCACAGTTGGTAATTGCTGAGATGAGGTTGCTTAACTTTTTCGCTCACAACCTATTTCTCTTGGAGACCACCTGCATGTTATTCTTAAGGATCATGAACCCTAGTAGCTTGAAAGGGAAAAGGAAACAAAGAAATAGAGTGATGTTAATCAATTTTGCCTTAGTATGTGAAATATGATCAACTGCCTTAATAAAACCATATTTTGCATCATTGGAAGGCTTTGCTCTTTGTTCCAGCACTTGTGATGCCATTACAGATGTTGTACCTTTCTTCCAGACACATTTGCCCATATGTATGTTGCCATATTTGAAGATTCAACGAGCATCACCAGGAACTATCTTTTGCTCACCGCCTTTATGCTCTCAACTTCAGTTATAGTTCCTTCCTTTGGCTCATCTCCTCTTGGCGGCAACCAATTCCTACACTTATATATGTTATCCCTCAATCAGGAAAAGGTTAAAACTAAGCTGCATTTTGGAGCCGTGATTGGACAAAAAGCTCGCAGAAACTTGTTGATTTGAGATGGAATGGTGCTGGAAAACAAAGTCTTTATTTTGAGACCACAAACTATTCATAGATCCAAAATAAGGGAGGAAAGATGTAAATTCAAAATAGTCTTCTATGTATGATCTTGGTTGTCCATCGAAATGCAAACAAATGATTGATGTGGAAAGCCAAGCAGCCCGAACCATATGATTACACTTTTAAAAGCTCAAGAACACCTCCTAACCCATCCACAAACCTAAAATTGTTATATTCAAAGATTTTCCTTTGATCATCTCGGAGGACATCCTCTTGCGATCCTCTCACAGGACTAAATCTCTTTGGTTGTAACTCCTAGTTACTATAGTTCCTTGCTTTAACTATGCCAAGTTCTTCCTCGAGTCCTCAATTCAATCCGCGACTAAAAATAAGAGCCAATCTACTCAGTGCTTTTGCAGACCCATTTTGCAATGCTGAGGTCCTCTTAAACACGTTGGTGTTGTCCATCGATAATTATTGCACTCAACCCTTGAAATCCTTCTTTTTGAGGCAATGATTTTAATCACTCAACTGCCGCATTCAATTTATGGTAAGTGGGTTTCAATGAACTCTTTCCACACTTTTCTCCTACTCTTCTTATCCCAAAATATGATATAGAAGCTAAAAATAATTACGAGCTAAAGCAAGTCTAGCAGTTAATTTTGCCTATCCATCCTCTCTACCTCACCATGCAATATATAAACCTAAGTATGTGGCCTGTATGGACATGCCCACATAGACAGCTTAAAAAAACGGATCTTTGATTTATACATTGTTTTTTGTTGCTTGCCTCTTGGGAACTTTATTATTGTTTTATTCAGTTATTTTTATGCTTTATTTAATTATACCTCATTCTTTGTTCTAATCGTTATTTTGCATTATTTTTATTAGTTGCGAGACCTAGAGAGGGGCGTTGATGTCCTTGTTGCAACTCCTGGCCGATTGGTGGATCTGCTTGAAAGGGCTAGAGTTTCATTATCGATGATCAGGTATTTGGCCTTAGATGAAGCTGATAGAATGCTTGATATGGGTTTTGAACCACAGATCAGAAAGATTGTGGAGCAGATGGACATGCCCCCGCCAGGTGTGAGGCAGACTATGCTCTTCAGTGCCACCTTTCCAAAAGAGATTCAGGTTGATTTCTTTGATTCTGCATCACGCTTTGTTATCATCTTGGCACTTGTTGCGTATATGCTAATTTATGTACCATTAATGGAATGCTATTGGGTTGCTTTATGCATGTCACTGTTTTGATTTTAGTATAACTGTGCTGGTCTTACCATTTGGCTCTGGAATCTTCTTGATAATGACCTTGCAATTACATGCATAGGTGAGTTTAATAACTTGTATTATCCTTGACTAATATTCAGTTTCTCTACATCTCAATGTATGCAGTTTCCATTGATGCGAAGTTTCTTGATTGATCGTTCTTAACTATTTAATTTTGTTTGCCATGTTGTACCAAAAGTAAGTATTTCTTAGTACTGAGGCACTTTTTGAAGAAATTTGTGCATAGTAAGTTTTTAATAGTGGCTGAAGTACCTTTTACGTATCACGTGTGACGTGATGAAATTATTGATCCTCTCTCCCTTCTTCTTAAATGAAATGACTTGGCGATGAGTGTTGGTCAAGTGCAATTGGTTCAGGTTGGCTACATTTTCATTCCAACTGAGTTGGTATCTATTATTCCATTTTTTTTTATTTGATGATATTCGGATCATTATTTGGAAAATAATGATAAAGACAACTTTGTTTGTTTGCTGCTTTGCCATTGTTTCTTGAGTGGAAAGACAGCAAAAGGGAAATCATCCCAGATTGTTCTTTTTAAACAGTAAGCCTAAGTCAATGGTAGTCAATTGATATAAAAAATGGTTCCATGAGGTTTTCTTGTGTCCCATAGTTTTCTTATAGTACTCAAAACTTCACTGTTTATGGATTTAACACCTAAATTGTATTATTTACATAATATACCACCCTCCTTAGCTCCATTAACAACAAAATTCTAGACCATGACGAAGGTTGCGACAGGCCAAATATGAGGATGTCGCGATGGGCCGGAGATGAGGATGGCATGATGGGTTGGAATCAAGGAGGCCGTGCAAGGATCTAGATAGTAAGGGGACGAACAGGCTGCGACAAGATCTTGTTGAAGATTGCGATGGGTCTTGTTAGCATTGACTAGATCATTGTTGTGCGAACCGGTGGCAGGCGAAGCGGGTTATGGAACTTACGGCATGGGAAGGTGGTGACATGATGAAGTCTTGAGGGGATTGGACGGCGTGCAAAATTTTAATGGGGTAAGCTGTATTTTTGTTGTTTAAGTGTTACATAAGTAAATAGTGAAGTTTAGATGTTAAATATATCGGTGGTGAAGTTTTGAGTGCTATAGATATAAACCCCTCATGAATTTTGCATGTACACACATAGGGTGGGTCCCTTTGTGGGACCAATCATAGTATTGCAATCCCTTCATTTATTAACTACTTTTTCTTAGTTACTATCATTTTTTTTGTGACAATTTATGATTATTATTATTATCATTTGTTGCAATTTGTTTTTGATTACTGCTGTTCCTTTGTCCTTGGCTCGGTAAGAAAGTTTTTGTGTTGATAATATGTGGACTGTTGGTGTAAATACCAACGTAAAAGCTAATGAAAGGAATCTAAATTTTATATAGCCGGCCTCAAATAAATGGGATAAGACTGATGATGATGATGAATTAAATTTGAGAACAAGGATAAAAAAAAAGTATATTTTGTGTGGTGATTTTTATTACACTGGTTTCTCGATATCTTCATGTCATGTGGACATCTGATAGTTATGTGCTAGAACTTGTGTTTGCCTTGACACGCTGATGACTTTGGTGTAGAGACTGGCTGCTGATTTTCTTTCGAAATATATCTTCCTAGCTGTGGGAAGGGTTGGGTCCAGCACTGATTTGATCGTTCAGAGAGTGGAATTTGTTCAAGAATCTGATAAACGAAGCCATCTTATGGATCTTCTTCATGCCCAAAGAGCAAACGGGGTGCAGGGAAAGGTAGTATACCTTGATTATATTTTCCCACTCCCATGCATCCAGTTAAATCTTACGGATAATTTATTTGTTATGTTCAATGACTCTTTGATAAAGCTCAATATTTCTTTCTTGTTTATTTTGTGTTTATTTTTTTTATAACCTTTTTGAATTGTTACTTCTACGTTACCGCTGCAGCAAGCGCTGACTTTAGTTTTTGTGGAGACAAAGAAAGGAGCTGATTCCTTGGAGCATTGGTTATGTATGAATGGATTTCCTGCAACTTCTATTCATGGCGATAGAACACAGCAAGTAAGAAATCTGTTCCCATTATTATCGACGTGTAACTGCTTAGCATATCTTTTGATTAACTTGAAGGACATATGTGATGTTATTAAATCTAAAATATTCTTAATATCATTAAGTGCTGCGCTTATTTTCAATTTTGTTTGAGGTAGTTTTTATTAATGAGTTTACACAGCAATTATTAAGATACAGCGGTAACTACAACAATTATGTTGGCCTGAACTGTATTTTATTGCTGATGCTATTTCTTTTAAGATTTTGTGTTAGAAAGATATATTATTTGTATTTATAAATGTCCACTGTCATTTGGTAAGCAAGTTGCCGTAACCAAAAAGCTAGATTTGTCTTTTGATAATCGTTGGCTTGGGTGATCGTTTGTTACCCACGTCTTTAAACAAGTTGGTTTTAATCATGTTAGTGAGCCAGGTTCTGGTGTGTTTTAGACCGAAGCCAATCTATTTTTATATAAAAAGGTGTCCCTACAACAACAACAACAACAACAACATCAAGCCTTTATCCCACTACGTGGGGTCGGCTACATGAATCCTTTTTCTCCATTGTGCCCTACCTTTCTTAACATAAGTCATTCCTAATATAAAAAGGTGTCCCTATTATTCTAATTTCTCCTCCAGTAGGTTTTCCAGAGCTTGGTGTATATTACCATCTCTTTTCATAATCCTAGTTATTTGTGATTTTCTGCCATATTAAGACGACCTTTTGATTGTGTCCGAAAGCTTTTTATAACCCCCCCCCATCCCCCACCCCAATGATGCTAAATGATAGTTGATTAAGGCTTCGTTTGGGACGGCTTTCTTACTGCTTCTTAAAACAATTTTTAGTGCAAACCATCTATATTTGTGTTGATATAAAGTTGGCCATAGTTCTTTAAAGAAGCGAACTCATTGAGTCATTTTGGATTGCTGGGTTTGAATCATGTCATTGTGAGGATGCTATTAGGTTTATTTTCACTCTGATTTTGGCGAAGATCTCCTCCAATGCGACGTAAGTATGATTTTTGTGTATAATAGATCGAATAGACATGAAAAGGTTGGGCTGTGGGAATTTGCTGGATTGTGATTGAGGTCCTCTATCCTCCCTTGGAGAAAATGTTTCTTTAGCAACTTGAGTTTCCTCAAGATTTGTTTCTGCAACGCCTGTCAATTTTGATCGTTGCTGAATATGTTAATTGTTCATCTTAACATCGCAGCTGTGGTGCTTCTTCCACTTAATAATACAACTTCACCTGTACTTCTTTTGTTTCTTTCCACATACTTCACCTGTACCCATCAAAATTGATGCTCTACTCTATTGAGGTGTAAGGGCATCTCCAACCTAACTCCAAACGCTTGAATGACGTTGCTGGAGAGCTCCCGGTAAAACTTCCGTTATTTGGTTGCAGGTGAACAGTGGGACGCTAATATTGGCGTTGCACTGTTCATCTCCGCTATTTTTCTGTGTCTACCTAACTTACCAAAGAAACGCGCGAAAAGAAGAAAGAACGTTACCTTCGCAAAATTAGAGTTTGATTGGACGAATCACGGTATTTTTTTCAGTTTCACGGCATTTTGGAGTGAAAAATGAAATTTTCAGTTGGAGTGGTCTAAGTAATTGTTCATCAACTGATTATTGTTTATTTCCTTTTTGCTGTCTGAAGTCTCTCTCTCTTTTTTTTTTTTAAATGCAGGAACGCGAGTATGCTCTGAGATCTTTCAAAAGTGGTCAGGCTCCAATTTTGGTGGCAACTGATGTTGCAGCTCGGGGACTTGACATTCCACATGTGGCTCACGTAGTAAACTTCGACCTTCCTAATGACATTGATGACTACGTGCACCGGATTGGAAGAACAGGGAGAGCAGGAAAGTCAGGTTTGGCGACCGCCTTCTTTAATGATAGCAATACCTCCATGGCCAGACCTCTCTCTGAGCTCATGCTGGAGTCAAACCAAGAGGTACCACCCTGGCTTAGTCGGTATGCAGCTCGATCTTCTTACGTCGGCGTCGGTCGTAATCGGCGCTCTGGCGGTGGAGGCCGCTTTGGTGGCCGTGACTTCAGGAGGGACTCTTATAACAGGGGTGGTGGCGGTGGCGGTGATTACTATGGCGGCGGTGGTGGCGGTGGCGGCGGTGGTGGCGGTTATGGTGGTGGAGGATCGGCCGGATACAGTGGTGGCGGCGGAGGCTATGGAGGCAACAACCCAGGGTTTACAAGCGCTTGGGACTGATCCTTGGTAGCATGTCTTAACACTGTATTTTTGTCTGTTATTTCTTAAGATTATATATTCTTGACTAGGCTTTAATATCTAAGGATTAAGGTATGGGGGTAATTGCCCCCCCTTTTTTGACTTCACTTTAATGAGTAATGTCTCTTTTTATTTGGCTTCCATTGTTGTTTGGTTGGTTGTATCTAGCGTTTGTTTGATTGACCCTACTGTTCGTTTTGTTTTAAAATAATAGTTTCCATGAAAAATATCTTTTAGATGATTTATTGAAGGCATGATTAATAGTTCTTTTTCTTTTTAAGTTATATATCTATACGGGGCTGTTTGGTAGCCTCCTGGATTTGATTTAAGTAGGATTTCGTAAATCCTCTAAATCCGGATTTTGAAAATCCTTAGAGGCTTAAATTTTGAAAACTGTTTGGTAACATTCATGATAAATCCTCTTAAATCTCATGTGACTGTTTGGCTATAGAGCAGGATTTATTGAGTTGATTTTTCCTCTAGCATCATGGATTTCATAAATCCGTCAAAATACAAGTTTTCAGAAATCTGGGATTATTCGGGATTTAGAGCGAATCGGCGGAATTTTTCATCTACTGTGGCCGTTTGGCTGGATTTCGTTCAAATCCAGCCTAAATCCTGCTACCAAACAGCCCCTACAAGTTGTGATATTTGCGTAAACATTTGTTCATTATTTGTTCTTGTTGCCGTTGCATTTTTCTTGGCTTTTACAAGATTGATCACACTAACATTAAGATGTGAATTTTATTTTATGCATACATATTTTATATTAAATGTATTTATAAATTAATACTATTTATTTCTAGTGAATTTTATTATAGATGTAGAATTTATTTAATGTATGACTCTTGTTTGCTAGTCAAATTTATAAATTAATACTATTTATTTCTAAGACTTTGTTTTGAGACAAAAGCAGTGGTTTGACAAATTAAAATATATTTTATTTTATATAAACTAAAAGACAAAAAAAACTCTGGTCGAAATTGATCATTTTTTATATTTAATTTGGATTTGAGGCTGGCTTGCTGGAACTTGACTCTTTATTTACCATAGAGCTTCCACAGGAAGCTGAAAATCATACAGAGATGATAATTGAAACTCACAAAAGACAGTTTATTGTTATCTAATTAATACAAAGGAGATGCTGCAACATCTTAACAACATTACTTAGAAATAAAATAGACTTCATCCCTTTCCAATTGATGTTTGCAGTTAAGGCTCTGGATGACTGACTGCAGGTGCTCAAACCTGTGAAGCATAAAAATTACAATATTGTTAGAGAGAGAGAGAGAGATCACATTCTCTCTCTATATTCTACATTTCTCTCGAGCCTGAGTTTGCAAAGAAATTATTTTGTATAGAGACCGGACGCAGAATGTCATCTGGAGACAAACCAGCATGCACCACACGTCAGCAGTACAGAGCAATGGATGACGTGGTGCATTCTGATTGGTCTCCGCACGACGATCGACATCCGCACAAAATAATTTCTCCAATTTCCATGCCTTTTGTCATATTTATGCATGGGCTGAGGCTAAGATTTAGGAAAATATATTTGTTGGGTATAAAATGTAAATCTATGATACGGAATGATTCATCATAGAAAAATAGATTTTAGGACAATAAGAGCAAATATAAATCATAAAATAAAACAAAAGCATAGCAGTAAAATGTTCTACCAGGCTGAGAGAAGAGTTGATACTAAGGCTTCATTTGGTACTAACTTCATTATTTTCTAATGCAGTCTCTTTTGGTGTATGAACTAGAAAATTTTCTAATAAAATATTGCTTTAGAAAGCAGTATGAAAGTTGCCCCAAATAAAATCTAAAAGTGACGAAAGAACAATATAGTTTTGATAGCGATGAAGAGATTGATGAATGATATCTAATGATTTGTTTAAAGAGAACATTGATCAAAATCATGCGATAGTCGTTCTTGTAAGGTGGCTAATAACCATTGCCTCCTTACCCTGTCTTAAGCAGTTATTGCAGAAATTCTATTGCAGCTAAATTGTTAAGCAGAAATCGGCTATAGCCTATAGATTACTTTTATATCAATATTCAATTATTTTTACTGCAAGTTGTATGAGATGTGGCATAAAACGGCGGTCTTCCGAAGAGCCGGTTAGAAAAGTAGATGCATTAGATTGGACTTATGTTAAGAAGAGTAGAGGTAGACCTAAAAAGACTTGATCAGAAAATATTAGAAATTATCTTTCTTTATTAGATTTAAATGAGAATTTAACTTTTAACATGGCATAATAAAGAAAAATGATTCATGTAGCTGACCACATATAGTGAGATAAAGACTTGACGTTGTTAATGTTGTTGCTATATGAGATGTGACAACTTGAGTCCACCATGTTCTCTAATTTCAATGGTTACTCGGAGGATTTACATATATATAACACATAAAATATTAAGATTTATGTAAAAGTAAGTGTAATTTTTTATCTTATTTTGATGTTTTTAGTGCTATGCGAGTTGTACAGTTTTTTTAATTATATAAATTTGTTGACCTCATTTTTAAAAGCAAAATTCGTAATGTTTTTTGAAAATATGAGAAATAGATAGAATTAGAGCCTTTTCTTTCTCCCTTAGAGATGAAAAGTACAACAGCCATAATGTTTTCAAACTTAAGAAAAGGAAAATCTATGAATATTTTCTTGAATAAATTATATGCATTTAAATGCATATGAGATGGTCTATAAGATTGAATCATGAATGGAAGAATCCCAAAATAGTTATTGATCTTGATCATTCCTAAGAAAATAATTGATTGCAGTATATGTTTTTTGCCACTATTCAATGTTTAAATGGTGAAAACAAGAAACCTTTAATGGTTTATCTTTGCATTGTCTTGAAGGAAAATAAACACATAGGGATTGCTATTTTTATAAATCTCACAAATAAGAATAACTCTATCTTGATATTTTCAGCTCTAGGAAAAAGAAAACAACGCAGAGAACGAAAAATCCTTCCTTTCAACTGCTTCCTAACTATCTATTTGAAGGCAATAAGGGCAAATAATCACTCAATGAAAAGGAAAAGAAGAACTACCAGCTGAATCCTTCACTCAAGCTCCCTCATTACCTCTCAATTTCGTCAGCTATCTTGCTCAAATAGCCTCCTTTTTGTCTATTTAACTTAATAGCTCTTAAGGAAGTCAAATTACCATCTTGCTCTCCCTTCTTGATATGATCAAACAGCTAAAGATAATGTCAAGCTTGAGGAAAATTTGAGGGTTGAATTGGCTAAAGAAAATCTGAACTAAATAAGCCAAATGACATTTGGATTAAACGGATTCAGCCAATTTGAATTAATTGAAGTTGATTCAACTCCAGAGGAGTTAATTTGAGTTGAGTTGAAGTTGTCCATTAATTTGAGTTTGAGTTGAGTTGAAGTCGTCCAGCTTTAAATTATATTCGAGTCGAGTCGAATTGACTTGATATTAAAATTGTTTGATTAAATAAGGTGATTAAAGCCGTTGTGCCAAAAAGAATTCATTGAAGTCAAGTCAAACTAACTCGACGACGCTCGATTGAATTTATTTGATAAAAATCAAATTATTTTTAATTAATTTGGGCTTCGCTCAACTCAATTTAGGTTGATGGTGGCGTCGAAGTCGAATCGGAGTCGAATCAAGTCGGATTGATTCGATGTTGTTCAATTTTATTTATTTGATCAAATAGATTTCATTAGCTGAAATACGGTTCTATTTTGATTTTAAAGAAGGGACGGCAGTGATTACGAATTTTGCTTTTAAAAATGAGGTCAACAAATGGACCGTCAATATGCGTAGTAGAATGTAGTTATACTACACATATTGACGTTGACCGAATCAATGAAATTTAGGAGAGATTTGATTGAATTTTGATTTAGAGTTTGATTGCGATTGAAATCCTAAACAGAGTTTGAAGTTTCAAGCTTTGATTTGCATTTGATGAAAGTTTGAAGGTTAATGAATTTTGAAAGAGATGTCTGAATATGAATGATTTTATATTTTTTTTTTGGAAGAGAATATTTGAAAATAAATGAGTTTCACCTTATTTTGAAATATTGAGAAATTTCCCTTCCTTTTTTTTCGAATGTTAGAAACATTTTCCTTCTCAAATGACCATAACAGCTCGCCACTGTTCCGTTGGGGATCAAGGGCAAATATGCATGCCATTTTCCAAGAGGAAGAAAATATTTTTTTTTACAACAATTTTTAGAGAACCACTAGAAAAGGGGCCTAAAAGACTTTATCATTTACTAGTGGTTATAGTCCTAAGGAAAGAAAGTACGGAGACTCACACCTAGCCTTAACAAATAAAAAAAATCTATTTGTTTTGCTTGATCTTGAGGAAATAAAGCACAGGGACTCACACCTAACCTGAAGTCTAAAAGTTGTAGATGGGAGACTTATACCTAATAGAAATAATTTTTTTTTTAAATTTGAGTTACCTTAGATCTAAGGAAAGGAAGCACGGGGACCTCACACCTAACTTTAGGATACTAAAGGGTGACTAAGTTATGATGTGGCCTAACAGACTTAAACCCAACACTAGCTAGACTAGGTCCTAAGAAATATGAAACTCAAGGACTCACACCTATTCCCAGAAGACCAAGATTTATTTTAATTTTGACTTACTTCTAGATCTAAGAAAAGAAAGCATGGGTACTCATGCCTTTTTTTTTTTGAATTTGAATTTGGATTGATATTGAGATTGATTTGGATTAAGAAATTTTGAATTCAGACAGAAATTTCAATTTGAATAATTGGATTTGAAGAGATTTGAACTTGAAGACTTGATTGATTTAGGATATGATTTTCATCAAGCATAATATTTCTTGAGGTACCACCTATTGACCAGAAGCATTGGGTGGTTCCGCTTTACAATCAATTAGTTGATAAGAACCCCATTTGTAAACTATCTCCATGACAAGCGGTCCCTACCGCGTTGGTTCAAAAAATGTTGAGCTAACATAGGTTGCCGAAGAACTAAAATCAAGTCTCATACTTGGAAAGTTCTAGGACGAACTAATTTATTATGAGCTTGAATCATCCATGATTTGTATAATTCAGGATTTTTTTTTTTTTTTTTTTTTTTTTTTTTTTTTTTTTTTTTTTTTTTGTTTTTGCAATAGACATTCTTCAAGACCTTCAAATTTTTATAATCAAAGCAAGGCATTTTGCTCAGTTTTGATTTGATTTTGAAGGAAGATTCTTAGTTACCAAAGTTGTACCTCCAAAAGGAGAACTGCCTCGGACCCATTATAGAATAGGATTTTGCAGAGTATGTTGAATTTAATCTTTAAAAATGATCTATTTTAATTCGACGATGCCTCATTACAAAGCCAAAAAATTTTTGGAGTGATGTCATAGGCAGATTTTAGGGATTTATTTCGATATCAATGACATAATCGTTCACAAATGACTCTAATATTATTAAAATGATGAAACAATCATTAAATTTGAAAGTCAATTTAATGAAGTTGTTTAATTTATCCTCGCTCAACAAAGAGCTAATGAAAATGGGATAAGGGGTATCCTCTGTTCTAAGATTGATTTCCTTTAATTCATTAATTATACATTTAATTTCTTCTTCAAAATCAGGATGTACATTCCTGACTTTTAAGTTCATCTAAATCATCTGAGATTTCTAAACAAAACTCTAGTCAATGGTTTCCATAAAGATCTTATCATATTTAAGACGATTAGTTATCGTATTATGAACCTTTGGAACATTGGATTTGGGGCTCGGTGCATCTGAAGAAGGATTTGATTGTTGATTTGAATAGTGAGTTCAATCATTGGATTTGCCTTATTAGTTGCAAGCCTAGGTGGCAAGATCCTACCATAATAAAATTATATTTCTATGATCTCTTCGAAAACAGAGAATGTCAAGGGGTTTGCACTACCCCTAGGTGATTCAATATTATTTTCCAATAAGGCACTAAATCTGAAAATCTATCATGACAGGATTACCATGAAAGTTAAATTCAATGGCATCACTCTATGAAAAGCTTCTATATTCATCATCCTTAATGTATGCTATGATTCGAGAATAATCTTTTTTTTTTTTTCGTTTCGATTGTAAAATTTTTATTAATCATGTAAGATTAAGATTATTATTCTAATTATCATTTTTTATCCTTCATTTTTCTTTTTATTTTTTCACTTATTTTTCCTCTCAAATTATCAGTGACTTGAAAATTGTGAAAGCGGCACCTCCAGTTGTGGTTGCATCTCCTCCATAATAGATGATGCATGAAATTCCGATATGATAGGAAGTAATTGTAGATCACGAGTATTTCCTATCAATCTTCTCAAAACATCGAGAATTCTTCATAAAAAGTCCTCACAAAACCACGAAAACAGTAGATAATTTGTATTATTTGATGAAAGGAAAACATAAAATAGCAAGATACAATTGATCCTCAATTCGAGAGGAGGATCGATCTCTCCCAAATCTCTGGACGACGCTAGAGCCCAAAGAAAACCTAAAATCTAAGAGATCTCAAATTTCAGCCAAATGCAAGATGACTTAACCTTAGGAAAATCATCTATTTAATGAATACAAATAAAAAGGAAATCCCTAAATAGTCCCTACATTCAAATTTTCCTTGTTAATGAATACAGCTATATACTTGTTAAAATAACAAAAATTGTTTATCAATTTTTTATTTAGAGTACGAAATTTTGAATTGGCAAAGCAAAGGATCATAGATTCAATTTCTATTTAAGGTTCACGTTGGAATTTGGATCTTGATTTGAAGGGATTGATATCGGGCTCTGTCTGACCAGTTGTGTTGAGTTACAAATGAAGTAAAATCAATTACTAATAATTTGATGCAATATAAAACACTAGCACAATTTAGGATGCCTAACTACAATTTAGGATGCCTAGTTTTTCATTATTGTTGTTGTTTCATAATAATCATGATCCAATTCCAACACCTACTTGAAATTCAACTTAAATAGATTAGAGTTAATTTTGATTAGACTAAAAAATTGAGTTGGCTTTAACATCAACTTAATGAACAATACATTATAAATCAAATGGATCTAACCAAAATTATATGAGTAGTCCACCAAAGCCCATTCTAAATCTAGATTAATACAAGTGGATAATGAACTTTGGAAGGCATAATTAAATGGGCATCGATAACCCATTTAACAACCGTACTTCAATACAAACAATCTATAAGAAATTCAACACATGATTCATACCATATGTGATATTGATATGGAAACCACAAATAAATGCATGAGGATGAAACTGTTAATTTCCAACGATTGTATATCACCACATATCCAAGAGACTTATTTCTTCCAAATTTCAAAAGTAGTAAATTCAACATCAAAACAAAGAAAGAGAATTATTTCTAGACTGCAGCATTCATGCCGTCTCTACGCTCTTTAAATATCGCTACTTTTCATCTTACTGTATAACTATGCTACAGTTAATTAACTTTCTTGACATCTAAGGTTTCGTTTGGGACAGTTTTAGATCACTATTTTTTCTCTACTTTCAAGAAATTTTTGTACTTAAAAACATCTTTGCAAAGCAATAAAAAAATCATCTCAAACGAAGCCTAAATCTCATAACAATAAAACAACAAGGAAGAATAAGAATTTGACATTAGCATGAAAAGTAGAAATGTATATGCATTTAAGGATGAGTGCATCAAACATATATATTCATCAATATATATGTATTTGTATATGTTTGAGTGCTTGTTTGCAAGTTTAACTAAGAAATTATTGTAAGCGAGGAGAAAAACATAAAATCAAAATCCAATAGACTATTTAATCCATCTATATGACTATATTAACACATGTAACATCTAAAATTTACTATTTACTAATTGATGCGGTGAATCATAGTCACCGATTATCAACAGTGGATTGTATCTTCCATTACCAGTACCGGACAATATTTGGGAGGACTTAAGTTTAGATTTTGTAATGGGTTTGCCTCGCACAAGATGTGGACACGATTCCATTATGGTTGTTGTTCACATATTTTCAAAAAAGGCTCATTTTGTTCCATGTAAGAAGACATTCGATGCGCTTAATATTGCACGCCTTTTCTTTACTGAATTTGTTTGCCTACACAGGATTCCCCGAAACCTTACATCGCATCGTGATGTCAAGCTTATTAGTTACTTTTGGAAAGAATTGTGGAAGCGTCTGCACACTGAAATAAAACTCAACCATCTTATCACCCTCAAATTGACGGTCAAACTAAGGTAGTGAACAGTACACTCGGCAACATGCTCTCGTGCCTTGTTCAAGAGCACCCCAAGCTGAGTTTGCCTATAACAGCATGTCGAATCGTTCCACTAAAAGAAGCCCCTTCAGTGTCGTGTACACCAAACAGCCGAACAACACAGTTGACATTATCGCACTACCCAAGTGCACAAACAAGATTGCCCCCTCATTTGCCAATCATTTATCTTCCATGTTACAGGATGCTCACAACAAACTTCTCGAGTCCAATGCTAAATACAAACCAAAAGCAAATGAACACCGACGACAGAAGATATTTAAACTAGGTGACTTAGTGGTGGTCCATTTGAGGCGTGAACGCTTCGCTCTAGGAACTTTCTCAAAATTAAGTCGAAGGAAGATTGGACCGATTCCTATTCTAAAACAAATCAACCCACATGCTTATATTGTGGATTTTCCAGGTCGCCTTAACACTTCTTCTATATTTAATGTTGCAGATATCTCACCGTACCTTCCACCAGATGACGCACAAGCCACTTTTTCATCATCAGAGTTTGATTCTTCACCTGCTATGGGAGAATGATGCGGTGCATATAGTCACTGGTTATCCATAGCCATTTTATACCTATAGTTATTTTATTTTGCACTCTGTTAGTTATTTTCTCTATTAGTTATTTCTCTATGCATTCTGTCATGTTGTGTCAGTTTCCACTATCTTAGTTTCTATCCTAGGAAAAGTAGTACAGGACTTGTTTTCTGTTAATTAGCTAATTTCAGCAAGAGGAAAGACCTCCTGATAGCAGTGGTTTGCATATCTTCTTCCTGTGAAGAAGAACAGAAAACAGATTACCATATTATACTTTAGGCAAAGGGCCTTTTTATAGTTATTGTTCTCTGTTTGAACATGCCTCTTCCTTTGCATACCACATCACTAATATAACACCTAAAACTCTTTAATAGCTCAAACATATCACTCCATTATGACCCTGCTTAACACCCTTGGTAAACAGGCCTTTAAAGGGAATGGGAATCTGCCGCTATTGTTAAGAAAATATCGGCCACATATCATGTTGGGGATCTTGGAGTAATGCTTGTAGCCTGCTGAGCTCAATGACAATATGAAAATTGCAGAGAGTGTTTCTGGGGAGTTCTTTATGTTGGAGCGGAGAATACTGGAAATTATTTATTTTCTCAAGTATATGTGCTGAGAAGTGAGAAAAGACTTTTGGATCAGGCTGTTAGAGTTAAGAAGACGAGCGGAAGAGGGCTGGGAAGATGCCAGTATTTCTTTGGATCTGAAAAACGAAGGCAGCGACAGATTCCGTATATTTGTCATTTAAGAGCATTAGGTGTTATATCAGTAAATAGTAAATTTTACGTGTTACTTTTATCCATATTGGAACTTGGATCTTGGATCTAGAAAGAATGACGCAACCTTTTTAATCGTAAAAGAAAAACACAATCCTAACTTGAACCTGAAAAAAAGCGAAAAAAAAAAAAAAACTCTAATCCTCCCTGCGCCAAAAAGAAAACCACCCTAGCTCATCAGTACGATCCCGAAAACCTAATCAGTGTCTTCAAACCATACAAATATTTTCAGACGCACAACAATTAGACAAAAGGGATCAGGAAATCTACCTCAGAAACAGCAAGGGCATCCCCAGCAACCAACCCCTCCGATCCACGATACGATCCCTTCGCCGCTCCGCAATGAGGGATCTTCGCGAATAATGAAATCGGGAGCAATTCAGACAAAAACCCGACCTGAAATTCGAGATTTTTCCCATCGTCACGTGCGAGGATTCCCGTGATCGGAAGCCAGGCAAACAACTTCTTAACCTTGATGCCCTCTAGATCGGAGATAAGGCCATAGGAGAGCTTTCCCTTTACCTTTTTGCTGTAGTAGACGAGATCGGTGAACTTGACGTAGCACGTAGAAGATAGTTCCACCTCGAAGTCCCCATTGCTGTTGACCGAGTAGTTTATCACTGATTCGGGGAGAAGACCCGGTGGGAGGCCGTACTTGGAAAGCTCGTCGTGAACTGTGGATGCGGTGGCAGAGGTAACGGCAAGGAGCAGGGATACGGCGGCAATGAGGAACTTCGAGATCGCCATCTCTATCTTCTCTGCAATTTTTACTTGCTCGTCGAAGAAGCTTTGCTTGGGAGACTGTATTATGTGAGGAGTAGGGAAGAGAGCTTTGAGCCCACCACGTACGAGACAAGAATTAAAAAAAAAAAACGGATTTATTAAATCTTATTTGGCACAGTTTTTTTTCCTAAAATTTTATTCTAAAAAAAAAAAAACTATATCAATATGAAATCTTAGCCACAAAAAAAATATAACAATGACAGATCTAAAATTTATTGTTGATATAATATATCTCTCCTAACTTCGTTATTAATGAAATATTAAGGGATTGTTTGGTAATATTTATGATAAATCCTATTAAATATCTTGTGATTGTTTGATTATAGAACATATTTAATAAGCGAAATCTTCATCTCCAGCCAACGGATTTCGAAAATCTGACAAAAAACAGGATTTCGGAAATCCCAGATTTAGCACGAAAAGGCGGATTTTTTCGTCTACGACGGCTTTCATTTGCTATGAGATTTGGGTTTGCATTTTAGGCCATTTGGCTGGATTTCGCTCAAATAAGGCCTAAATCCTGCTACCAAGCAACTCCTAAATGTCACGATTACTTAGAGGACCAAGATGAGAAAGTTGTGACGTAGATTGCGTTGGAGGTCCTAACAAAAATCTCGCTATAGGTTGTGATGAATATTGTATTGATAAGGCTTATGATGCACTGAATCCGGGTCGTGGGGATGAAATTAATGATCTGTTAAATTGGCTATAGGATTGACAATTTGTGTAAGTGCGACGATATCGATGGCATTCGAGGATGAAGAAATTGCAATGAGATTTGAACGAAGTGTGAAATTAGAATGAGATGTGTGATACTTTGTATTGATATTTTAAAAATAAATAGATGGATCAATAAAGTTTAAAGCACTCATAGATTGTGTTTTGCAATTATTTTCTTAATATCACATAAATATTTGATGAGATTGATTTAATTTTTTTTATATAAATTCATATGATAACACAGTTCTAATTTTAATTTATATATATAAAAAAAGTATTTAGAATCATTTTGTTTAGTTAATTTAATTAAAATGAGGAGAGTGTCATAAATCTTTGCTTGAAAAAGTTTTAATGATCAATTCAATCAATAAATAATATTACATGAGTTTTGTATAGTTTTTATGGAAAGTATAGCACTAATCTAAAGTAAAATCAAATTTCATTAAAACCAACTCCAATCCCCAACAAAAAAAATCCAATCTTTGGAGCAACAAACACATAGTAAAAAAAATCAAATTTCATTAAAAAATGTCGAAAGTACAGTGGTTTTCTATCTCATTCCGCCGGCAAGGTTCATCTGGCCGAATCTGGAATGATCACATTGGTTCAATAAAGCTAAAAGAAGAGATAGTCGCTACAAGCAACACAACCACCATTGCCACCTCGGCCGCTTTCACCAGCTCCACCACCATTGATGCAAAGCTACATACTTATGCAATTTTATAAAAGATAAATATGTAAAAAAAATTAATTGTTGTGTTGAAGAGGTGGCATATTGCTCATGGTGATAATTTTTCTTCAATTGACTCATATTCAAAATACATGAGGGTTCTTTCTTAAAATTGTGAATTAAATTTGTTTGATGAAATGCATATATAAATGGAGCAGTTTATTAGAATATGAATATCTATTAAATATATAGGTTTTTTTTTAACAAATGAAACTTTCTTATCATATGTAGAAAGATATTTTAAGATAATTTCAAATTTTTTATATTTAAATAATTATAGAAAATAAATCATTTTTATTGAAAAATCATTAATGATTAAATGTAAAAAAATGATATAATTATATCATTAAATGGCTCTTATGTTAGATTAATGATAAGGCAATGATGAAAAAAAAAAAGAGCATATGCTGCAAAACATAAAGGCTTGATTATTGTTCATGTAGAACAAATAGTGGGTTTGTGCTGGCAATTATAACATGGCTTCTATACAAACTTGATATGTCGCTAAAAATTGTCTTAATCAAACACAAATCTTGATGCAAAACTATATTGAAGACTTTAGAATAAAATTCGAGACCATCTATACTCTGATTTCAGCAAGATTATAATCAGATTGAATATCTTATGGAGATGAATGCAAGGACACCAAATTCAGTCCAATTTGAGTCCAATGAGCCCAAATTAAAGGACCAAAACATTCTTGGAAGCTTCAAAACATTAATAAGATGAGCAAATGATATCTGAATATGACATGCATATAGTCGAATCGTGCTACTCAATGTGCCAAATCTAACGAGCCCAAGAGCACACAATTTTGACATCATTAAGGTACTTAACTGCTCGATTAATGCTTCATGATCAAGCGAATTAGTATGAGATGACCGATATAACACTCCAAATTTGTCCAAGATCTCCATAATTATGAGGCATGTTACTCCAAAAAAACTATAAAAAAATCATCATTCTTGACACGAGGGGAGGAGGAAGAGAAGAGAAAGTTAGAAAGCTCACTTGTATTCTCCAGTCAGTGCTGCCACCTTCGAATCTCTTACGAACCACCGACCGTTTCAGAACTTCTGTCGTATTGTTGGCCTCCGCCGGATCTCTTACGGACCACCGACTGTCATTGAACTTTTGCTCATTTGTTGCTCACTGCCAAATCTCTTCTCAACCATTGATTGTCGACAGACTTCCACCTATTTGTTGGTGGCCGCCGGATCTCTTCTTGACCATCGACTATCGTTGGATTTTCATTGATCCATTGACTACCTCCATATCTCCAAACATTACCAAGCCTCCACCTTTCTGTTGATTATCACTGAATATCCGACCATCGTCAGACCATTGGTGAACATTCTCCTGACTGCTACCATCAGATTTATAATATCTATCATTTATTCAAGATCAAGAATACTCATATAAAGTTTTACATATTCTTCAATATATTGTATTCTCATTGTCCTTAAGTTAAGGGACGAGTAGAGATTTGTAATATGGTCAAACACCAGTAGAATCATTTCAACTAAGCAATGTTCCATAGTTTTTTTTCCCTTTTTCTGGATTTCCATTTTCAAATTCTGACATTCGGCTGTAAATGAGCCGAGCCGAGCCGAGTATGTTTGTGTTCATTTAATATCAGGTTGTTCAAGTTTGGTTCATGTTTGCTCGAGCTTTATTGTTTGTGTTCATGTTTGGTTCATTTAAATTAATGAGTATTCATGTTTGGTTCATGTTCAGTTCATGTTCATTCATTTAGTGCTTATCAAGCTTTAAACAAACAAATATGAACGAGCTATAAATGAGCTATACTTTTAGATGTTCATGAACTTAGCAAACGAGCTTTATCGAGCTTCCTAACAAACGATTACATCGAGCATGTCCACGAACATATCTAAATTTTTTTACTTAACTATCAAAGAAATACGTTCATGAACATATCTGTTGCGTCCTGGAGTATTCGCGGCGGTAGATAAATATATAGTTTAATGTCTAAGCATTGTACAAAGATCTAGCACACAATCAAATAAGTGAGAGGGTGTAGTATTCATAAGAGATAATAGAGTTTTTATGTGGAAAACCCCTGAAAAAGGGGAAAAACCAGAGGGCCTAGCCTAGTTTGAATGAATCCAGTAGTATTTGTAGTCGATTACAAATGAGGCCCTTCTTAGGGAGAAGGCCTTGGCTTGCTGTTACAAATATATGTCATATAGAGAGCATTACATGGTGAGAGTTATAATATAGACATGTTTATTTGGTTGGAAGGGTCATTATCTATGATGGGTTTTAGAAGGACCGTAGTCGGCAAGAGATAGAGGTCAGAAAGATCGTTGTATGGTGATGTAGGTCGAAAGAACCGTAGTCGTCAGGAGATCGAGGTCAGAAAGATCATTGTCTGGTGATGGAGTTCGGAAGGACCATTGTAGGCGACAGAGGTCGGAAGGACCATAGTCGGCAGAAGACCGATGTCAGAAAGGCCGTTATCTGGTGATGGAGGTCGGAAAGACCGTAGTCGACAGGAGACCATGGTCAGAAAAATCGTTGTCTAATGGTGGAGGTTAGATGGACCGTAGTAGGTGACAGAGGTCAGAAGGACTGTAGTCGGCAGAAGACCAGGGTTAGAAAGACCGTTATATGGTGATAGAAGTCGGCAATATTCTGGGAGAACTATGGGCATCAAGTGGTGGCCTGGTGGGGCTCAAGGCCTCAAGTAGTGGTCCGGCAGAATTCTGGGCCTCAGGTGATGTTCTGGTGGAGCACAGGGCCTCAAGTGGTAGTCTGGTGGAGTAACGGCATCAGGCGGTGGTCCGGCGGAGGTGAGGGCCTCAGGTGGTGGTCCGGTGTAGCAACGGCGTCAAGTGGTGGTCCGGCGGAGGTGAGGGCCTCAAGTGGTGATCCAGCGGAGCAACGACGACAGGCGGTGGTGCGGCGGAGGTGAGGGCCTCAAGTGGTGGTTCGGTGAAGGCGAGGGCCTCATGTGGTGGTCCGACGAAGGTCCGGCGGTGATCCGGCGAAACTCCAGCGGTGGTCTTCTTCCTTCTTCTCTTCTTGCTTCCTTCCCTCCCATCCCTCAAGAGAAATGAGGGGTCTATTTATAAATTTTCTGGAGTGGCATGGCCCGTAAATAGGTAAGAGATCAAGGGTAAATGGGGAGTGGTTGGATGGACGACCGATGTTGAATCCCTTGATTGTGCACCGTTCTTCAGATAATTGAAGGTCTTAATGATGTTGGAATTTGGCGATCTTGGGCTCGTTGGATTTGTCTCGTCGAGCCGCTCGATTCGACTATAAGCACCTCATTTTTCGAAACCGTTTCGTAACCCAAATTGTGGTTCAAACCTCCAACAGCGCTTCGGACCCTTGATTTGGATCCATTTGGGCTCGGATTGAGTCGAATTTGGTGTTGTTGGGTTCATATTTCCAAGACGTTCAGTTTGAATGTAAGTTTGTTGAATTCGGAGTTCAAATGGTCTCAATTTTAATTTTGAAAGTTTCCTACTTGATTTTGCATTGAGATTTGCGCCAGATCAAGATAATTTTTTTGATGATATATCAATATCTATGAACAATTACATTTATAATAAAAGCAATTGTCTATGGTGGATGCTCTTGCTCTTTCTCATTCTTTCCCAATGCAACCTTCTCCCATCTCTTCTAAAGTTATTATTACAAATAGTAAATTTAAGGCTCTTTGCTCAATGGAGACCCAACCTTCCCCTCATAAAATCCCTCCCCTAAAGGTTATTATGCAACATTACGATAAAGAAGTTAAAAGAACTAATTGAAGTAATATTTGAAGCCAAAACTTACCGTCAACACGAGCTTCAACGTTGTCGGGGACGTCGTCGGGGAGAAGGATGAGCGGAGAAATAAGAAGATTCGTTAGAGTGCCTCGACGAGAAAATAGGAAAGAAAGAAAACCTAGTTCGTTAAATAAACAAACTTGAACAAATACATTTATATTATTTATATTTAATAATTATATAATCAAATATTAATTATTTTTATCGAGCTTATTCATGAGTTTAAAATCGAACATGAATCGAGCTTCTTATCAAGCTTAATTTTGAGCTTGTTCACGAACTTCAAATGAAGTTGTTCGCGAACATAAACGAGCCGAACGCATTAGTGATCAAGTTTGTTTATTTAAGAATCGAGTATCTAAAATATTGTTCAAGTTTATTTGTTTAGTTAATTAAACGATCACAAACGAATTTTAATCAAACAGAACAACGAGAAACTGATCGAACCTTTAATTCACTTTTAGACCTAGGCGAATTTGAGCCAAATCCAACCAAACAGCCTAGAATGCAAAGCCAAATCTTACGTGAGTGAAACACGCGGTAGACAGAAAATTACCCCTTTTCCCGGTAAATCCTCTATTATCACAAGAATAAATAAAAGTATGCTAGTTTTTGAATTTAATGCTCTATAGTCAAGCAGTAATATTTTACAGAATTTATAATGAATATTACCAAATAATTTTAACCGCAGGATTTCGTAAATCCGGCATGAATGAAATCCTGGGACGCGGCTCGCTCGATTTCGGCATAAATGAAATCCGAGGCAATGGTACACAACGTTCACAGACCTAGTCACGGACTCACGGGCAACGGGTTTGCTTTTCCTTCGCTCGATTTCTTCGACGCGGCTCGACTTCGCCTTCTTCACCTGAAGTAGAGTTTTGGACGAATCGCTAGCTTCCTTTGCCTCCTTCGACGACTTCCCTTCCCCGTCGGATCGGAAGCCACGACGGTTCGACGAGGTTGGATCGGAAGTTACGACGGGAGCTCGCTCGCTGCTGCGAAGGTAACGATGTTTCACAGTTTCACCCTTTCCCGCGTTTCTTCGGCTAAATCCCGTTAATCCGCCAAAAAACGGGGTTTGCTAAATCCAGGATTTAGCACAAAAAAGTAGAAAATGCCGTGAAGTGGAGTGTAGACTCACCGTGAGATTTAAATTTGTATTTTTTTGGTGTTTGGCAGGATTTAGCTTCTTTAATCGGCAAGAAATCCTGCATCCAAACGGGCTCTTAGGAGTTCCTCGTGCCATGGCCGGAGCGTTCGAGCTCTTCAATGGCGAGAGGGTCGTCGTCTTCCTCTTCGTCTCTCGCATCCTCTTCACCGTTCCGTTCTCCTTCGCATACGAGTCGGCGGCACTCGTCCTCCTCGCGATCGCCGGTGTCCTCGTTGAGATATCCATAGAGAACTCCTCTGCCCTAGATTGCTATAAGAATAGGTTGATTCGCTTGCACATGAGTTATATTTTGTCCATTTAGATTTATTTTCAAAATTTTCTGTTTCCTTGCACGCCCTTCTTCTGATTTGGTTAATAATCACTATTCAGTCTTATCTAGTCTACCTTACGAGTAGATATGCCCTATATTTTATAAAATTGATTGGCTTTAATGAAATGTTTATTTATATCTGACAATTTGGATCTGTTCTATTTGATATTACTTTTGTGCATTCATTTTTGAAAGCTTTAAGCACTTTTTTTAGCAAGAATAGAATCTTAGGCCTCCATTTTTAAAATAAGGTGCAATACCACTGGGCTTCATGCCCAGCCGTAAGCACTTGAACGTCAACTTTGAGATTCATCTGTTGTTTGTTACTAAATGTTTTGAAAAGACCATGCCCTTTCTTCATTTATTTCAATCTCTAGTAAGCTATAGTAATTTCAATAACTTTACTTTTTTAAGTTATTTTCATGTGCAAAACTTATTTTGGAAAATTTTAAAGCTTAAGGCTTCTTTGGGATGACTTTCTTGCTGCTTCTTGAAGCAGCTTTCTAGTACAAAAAATTTAATTTTTGTACTAAAATGCTGGTTTAAGAAGCATCAAGGAAGCCGTCCCAAACGAAGCCTAAGATTGCCATTATAACAGTTATATCTAAAACTTATTTTAATAATCCTCTCAACCTTTGTATTTTTATGCATAAAAAACACATCATAGCACACAACAGTGATCTCTAAGAAAAGTTTTAGCTGTGTACTTTTTTTCATTTATTACAGGCTCTCATGTGGCCTTGTATAGCTACTTGGTTCACTCTTATTTGCGATGTATATTATGTGATAATAGGAAGGTTTATTCATATCACCATGAAGTACAATTCTTTTTGCACTTAAATCTGATGGAATTATCTTTCTTAGGTCTGGTGCAGCTTCTGGGATACTTTTAGCTACTGTTACACTACCCTCTCTTATGCTATCCAGGATGATACAAATGTCAAGAGCAATTTCAAACCATGAGGTTGGACCTGAATGTAAGAGTTATAGTTTTATTTAACTAGATTTAGGCGTTCATAGATAATGTGTGGTTTGATCTTTCTATTCATATTCACTCATCCAAGGGCGGAACTGCCTAAGGTGCAGGGGGGGCAATTGCCCCCCCTAAAAAAATTAAAATTCTTTTTAGAATAAGAGCTATTGGATAATTTGCCCCTTTGAATATTATTTTTTGTCCTAAGACTTTTTTCATCTTCCAAAAAAAAACTTTTTTAACGTTTTCTATTTGTATATATTTTCGCTCCGATTATCCACCTGCTCTGTTTGAGATAATTGCTCTTCTTTCAGAAAATTATTACTTTCTTAGTTATTTAAGCATAAAGCCATAAATAGTCTTTCCAACTATGGAATTATGGTGCATTACACGCCAATGGTAATGCTGGGTCTAGTTTTGAATTTCTTAGAAGCCACTATTACCACCGAGTTCTAGTACTTGTTTGACAGAAAGAATGTAGGAGTTGAAACACATTAAATTTTGCTTTCTGCATATAATTTTAACATAATAGCATATAGATAATTGGGGTAATTGATTAGAATATTAATTTTATCTATTATTGTAGACTAATTTAAATAGATTGGAAGGTGTATAAAAATGAAGCTTGCTAGAAACGAAATCTAAAATATTTTTTTGTATACTAGAAAGCAAAATTTGTAATTTTTTTATTTAATAATTATAATGCAATATAAGAATTTGATTTTGAATTTTTTCTTGTATATATTTTTATATTTTTGTCCCCTCTAAAAATTAAGGCCGGTTCCGCCCCTGCACTCATCTTGTTGTCCTTGTAGATAGGCCCTTGACAATAATTAAAGATATACCATAATATCAGGCTACAAAAAATGTTAGCTTGTTGTTATGGGAATTCATCTAGATTATTAACTGCCTTAGAATGCTAATGGTGCCATTTAAGCTTTGACTGTTAACATTTCTGGGATGATATATGCTATTTACTTTTAAATTTTTTTTTGGTGGATTTGTATTTAATGCTGGATAATTATTCTTATATTGATGAGTAATTTTACTATCTTTTGCTGATTATGATGTTCTATTTTTTCTTGGCAGGGCTTTCATATTTTAGCCTTCAATTTTGGGCGGCATGTTCTTGTTGCTTTGCTGTTGTTAGCTTCCTTTCGTTTATACTGAAATATTCTTGCAGCAGTACCAATAGTTTGCATTTGCGAAGAGCTCAAGCTTCGAAATACAGTTTATTCTGCATGGTTGTTTATGGTCTACTATGCTATCATTCTTTGGACAGAAAATCGTCTAGCGGTTGGTTTCTTTCCTTTCCTTTCCTTTCCTTTGTCTTGGTCTAACTTTTTTCTAAAGGAAATGATACGACTCTATGCTCTAAAGATTTCTAATAGCAAAGCTTTATTTGGTAGATTATCTAAATTTGTTATCGCCTTAGAGATTGATGTTTTTATGATAAGATTTTGATTTCTTAACTGACTCCACAGACTGGTATGTTGTAATGAACCTGTTATGGCTGTTCTGCTATGGACTGACAACTATGGTACTTCTGAAGCATATTCTTTGCACTTTTCCATCAAGTGCTTCAATAGGTATAGATCTGTAGGTGTTTCAACTCTGTTCTTTATTACCAACAAGAGCTATTTGTGAGTTAAATTAAATATGTTTGACCTGGAAATTAGTTTTTTTTTTTTTTTTGAGCTATTCGTTTAAGATAATTAACACAGAAAATACATCCAGTTACATTACTAGGATTAGTGCTATTTCTTTTTTTTGCATATTCTATTCCCAGTTGTGGTTTATACTATATAATTGAGTATGATAGTTGCTTTTAATACTATTTTTTTCTTGCAAATTGATGGCGTTTTCAATTTAAAGGTTATCATATTTTCTTAAATTATTAAGTTCTACATTCTATGTTTTAAACTATTTGTTTTCTTCTCAGGTGAAGGTCTGCTGGTATCCAATGGCATAGTTCTTTATTTTGGTGACTTGTTGGCAAATGTTTTGTCAAAGGTATATCAACTAGAAATTTGTAATATCATTTTTGCCTTATATTTTTATTTATTTGTTGTAGAAGAAAAAGGAGATCACTATTAACCTGATTAAGGTACTCAAATTTTTTGACAGATGAAATTGACATCTGAATCAACAATATTTGATTTTCTTGGTCACGATGGCAGTAGTGAAATAAGCACAATTATTCAGGTAAAATCTTGCAAATCAATTTATTAAAAAACTTTTGACATTCATTTAACCTTTTATTTATTTTTTTCATGTAGGGAGGGTTGACTGGTCTTCTACTCTTCCCTCTCTTTTACAAGCTTTCTCTTCAAATGTGGGAATTGACAATTTGTAGCTCGGTTAAAGTGCAAGCTGTTGATAGATGGATTCCAAGGGTGATTGGAAGTTCTGTATTTTTTTATGCTTCTTTATCACTCATGCTGACCATATTGGTTCCTGCTTTGATCCACTTCACACAGGATTTTGCGATGCATCCTTTGCTATGGTATGATTTTCATTATATTTGCTATTGGGAGTAGCTTGATCTACTTGTTCTTTTATGTGTGAAACAAATGTTATATTTCTAAATGTCTATTATATTGGAAATAGGAGCCACAAATGAAAGAACACCCTACTTATGAACGAATACAATTGAAATAATTCTTAGAAAACCCCATAGCCTTAGTTTAATAGCGCTCATGGGATCATCAGCTTTCAACTTACTAAGCAAAGGAAGCTGGCAACAACAACTAGAGATTTTCTAACAACGGGGCCAACATGACTCAAGCTTTCATCCTGTCACTCAATTTTACAGAAAACTTGCAGCAATTCTATTGGTTTCGTATTGTCTAATTTGTGTCACTTTTAAAAAATCTTCGACAATGTTGTTGATTCTGGCATATTTTTGGCTCAAATGACATACCAAAGATGCTAACATAGAATGTTTGTTTAATCATTTTAACTGTGAGCCAGTGTGGTGAAGATCTTAGATAAATGGCATGGATAAAGTTATTATTTGGCGAACTTCTTTATTTGTTAAAGCTCATCCTTTCCTTTGTTTATTTGAGGATATCATTGACTATTTTGAATAATTGCAACTCTTAGCAGTGCATTTATACTTTTGTTTTTATCTTGCTTTTTCAGGGTACTTAATTTTTTGTTCACAGAGCCACTCAGGCGGATTTCTTTATGTTTCTATTGGATCGTTGTTCTCTGTGTGTCTGTTTTCCGGTTCTATAATATTTCAAAAAATAGCAAAACTGAAAGGATTCTACTTCGAAAATATTATCATTTGGTGGCTGTTCTGATATTTGTTCCTGGAGTTATCTTTGAGGTAGTAAGCAATGTGACAGTTTTTAATCTGTTCACCAGCGCATAAATTTTAGGCTAACTATTAAAAATCCAAATTTTGCAGCCTGCTTTTCTAGACCTAGCATTTGGTGCAGCCTTGGCAGCTTTCTTGATTTTAGAAATGATGCGAGTAAGTTATTTTTATCTCTTTTTTTAAATTAGCTTCTCTTTAGAAACATGCAAAATTTAGTTATTTGTTTAAGTTATGTATCTAATGCTTACTTAAGGATTTTCTATTCTCTATCTATAGTTATTTAAACTACTGAAAATGATAATTAGCCTTGGAGCCTAGAGCGGCACCCAAACCTTATGGAATGTTAAGCCCCACAGGACTAACGCTAACCTAAGCACCTACCCTCTTCAACACCGTAAGGCATTTTTGCCTCAAACCATCTTCAGGAGAGCCTCGTTGTGTACCCCAAAAATCTTTTTTAAAACAGTTCTCATGGTCAAATACAACTCAACACATTGAATGTTAAATAACTTTATTTATTTTATTTTTAAATGTTTTGTAAACATACTAACCATTTAAAACATATTTAACATGTATAACATTTTCGAAGTAATTCAACAACATAAGTGAAAATGTTGCAGGGAGGGAAACAACTTCTGATATTATTTATAAACTGCTTCTTTGACCAAAACTCTTTAGAAGAGTGACTGAAACTGATACAACTATATTATGAGATTTGATTTAGCGAATAAAGAGGTTGTTATAAGTAATTTTGTTGTTGAGTTATGAATATGAAATATAAGAGACCAATTTTGTTGAAAGTCAATACATTTCCATTATATCTGCTTGAGATAAATGAGGACATGACTAATACACAGATAAAAGTTGCATAGATAAAATTCAATGTGCTTCTAGGGTACCTCAGTAGTTTCAGGACTTCATGAAGTTATAAAAAAACCCACCTATGCGTTATTGAATAGAATATGGTGCAAAGTGCAGGATTTTAATATGTGATTTCTATATGGCTGTCATAAGAACTTTCTTTCTTTCTTTTTTGCTCAGATAATGGCTATAAGATTTGGATATGTTGTGAAAATTTAGGCTTTGTTTGTGACGGCTTTTTTACTGCTTTTTGAAGCAACTTTTTAGTATACAATTTAAAATTTTATATTAAAAAGCTGCTTCAAGAAGCATTAAAAAGGCTGTCCCAAATGAAGCATTAGTTGACTCCAACTTTCTAGGGAAGGTAATCAGATGAATGTCCAACATTGAATATGCGTTATAGGGAATCTCATCAATGTACAAAGATTACGAGAAGCTGCATTTGACAACATATAACTTTCTCAGAAGGTGCCAGAAAACATTATCTTATCGATAGCTGCACATTCTTCTCAAAGAAAGGAATTGAATGAAAAACAAGCTAGATAATTACAAATAATATTGTCAGAACTGATTTGAAACATTTATCTAAACAATAACGGTCTACAGATCCATATATATATATATATATATAATCAATCTTACTCTGAACTTCCAAATTCTTTGCAGGTTTGGAGTATTTGGCCCTTTGGACATATGGTGCATCAGTTTATGAATGCCTTTACTGATCATCGCGATTCAGAGATTCTCATTGTCAGGTACGAACTGCCATGTTTTCCTTTTATCTATGAAGGAACTTAATAAGTTCAGCAAATATGAATATTAATAATGCTTTGCTATGATCCTTTATTTGCAGTCATTTCTCTCTTCTACTGGGTTGTGCTATTCCTAAATGGATGTCCTCTGGTTTTAATGATAGACCTCTTTCCCCATTTGCTGGGATTTTGAGTTTGGGAATTGGTGACACTATGGTTAGTACTCTTTTCTTGTTTAGTAATCAGGTCATATTGACATCTGCAAAACAGCTAAGATTTTAATTTAACATATGTAAGAACTAGTTTAATTGTATTTTCACTAAGTTCATGTGAAAAATATTTTAAAAATATTATAAAATTTTAGAATATATTCATTTATTATTTTTTTAAATAAAGAGATCAATTGAATAAATTTATCATCACAAGTAATTGTAATAATGGTCATATTAATAAAAATTTTGAGAATTTTTTTAAATCATTATTGATAAATAGTTTTAGGATAAATTTAGTTGTTAAAAATCATAGTCATGTTATGAAAACTAGGATTAATCATGCATATTAACTCCTTTTTGAAATACACTTGCTTTATGAGCACAGAGTTCATTAAATAAAAATAAAGACAATGAGTGTCGAAATTCTAGTTTAAATACTTGTTGATAATATTTAAAAATTAATAAAAAGATTATCTTAAATTTTTTAAAAATATAATAATATTTTTTTAATAATAAATAAATTTTTGGGATTGATTTCAAGCTTGATTTTATGTATGACCATTTGTGTTGATATCATTTAATTACCCCTTATGTTAATTGAATTCCTTATCTAGTATGTAATTGATCAGTTGATGTAATTATAAACTGACCAATAACTATGGTTTAAATTAGTTTAATATTATTATAGTTAATAACTGATTTTAAAGATTTAATGACTGGAGTAATAGCTATAATTAATATTATGTCTAGGAGATTTGATCAGTTTAATATTTCGTGATTGTAATATATCAAAAACATTGACATCATTTTTATTGTGATTAAACATTATCATGCATATTTGTATTTACTATTAAGCGTTTTAATATTATTATGTAAAAATTACATACTAAAACATTATCCAAAAATTATCGTGACTTACTAACAATATTATTATATCTAAAGTTATATCATATCTTGATATCATCTTTTCATAGCATTGCATTTTAAAATAGTATGTTATCTAAAACGGTATAAAACACTTGAACTTAGTCAACATTAGAGTATTAAAACTATTTAATTCAAGGTTTTAATTGAAGGCTTAATAATAATTATGATTGTGCTTATAATAATTGTTCATTTTCCTACAACTGTAGTATTTTTTTATATTTTGTTTTCAAAAGACCCTCTCTAGATTTGGAGAATGATATGTTGAGAAAGAATAAAGTGAAATTGATGTAACCATAACCTGTTGAACTAAGGTTGTAACAAGCCTAATTGAGTAAAAAAAAAATCTTAATTTTGTCTATGCACACTTTTTTCAACTTTCAATATATGAACTGTTAATATGTGGGTGGATATCATAGATTTGCGATACTCAATGTAGCCATATATTTCTTCAGGCTTCAATGGTCGGTCATAAGTATGGTGTTCTGCGGTGGAGCAAAACTGGAAGTAAGATAACTTTTGAACCATCCATTTCTCATAGTAATGGGTTTATTTTCTATTGAACTGTTAACGTGATAATTATGTTTATGCCCACAGAAAAGACAATTGAAGGTACCGCAGCAGGCATAACGTCAGTCCTCGCTTCGTGCTCACTTTTACTACCTCTACTTGCCTCCACCGGTTCTATACTCTCTCAGGTTTGATATCTTACTACTATTCAAACAAATATTTTTTAACAAAACTCAGTTAGCACTGGAGCTTAGTCACTCTGGTATTGGGATGGCAAAAATTAAGAAGTTGGTCTAAAAAAATGTTCTCTGCTGGTTTGGGAATATGTGCGTGATCTATTGGCATTAGAGTTAATTGGGATAAAATTTTATTTATATTTAAAGGATGAACATGTACTCTCTCTGAAAATTTTACATTTTCAAGCGATGGTTGCATGTGTTAATAAGATAGATCTAAAGTTAAAAGATGCCATAGCACTCCATGTGTGCTCCCACACATGCTATGGAATTTTGGGAGAGATTATTTTATGCGACACTTGACCGTGAAGAGGCGAATCAGAGTGCACCACGTCACCCGGTACACAGTGATGTAGTGCGTTCTGATTGGCCTCCAGATGGCGTCCGTATCCGCACATGCATTTGGTCTTCATTTACTTTGCACAATTATTATATGATATTTTTAGTTATATATACACATGTTAGTGTCTTATATTTTCAATAATATACGTGTCGGTGTCAGTGTCGGTGTCGGTGTCGCATCATCTTTATGTTCATTTTCGCATAAATGCATTGGAGGTAAAGTATGACTTGCAAATAAGGATTGCTTGCCATGCTAATGTGAGAGAAGCATTGATCTTCAAAATAGTGAGGATATTTAATAATCATTTATATGATTTGCTCTGCCATATCCACCAACTAGGGAAATATGCATATATGATCGACTTAGAATGATAATCAGTTGAACTGAAATATGTGACTTTCTTCTTTTCAATAATGGATTAATATGATTCAAAGCTCATATCGTTTTTCTTAGCAGCACTGGTTCTCACTGGTCGTTGCAGTTACCCTGACTGGCTTATTGGAGGCTTACACGACACAGCTTGATAATGCTTTTATCCCTCTTGTATTCTACAGCCTTCTCTGCTTGTGAGTGTGGAAGAATTTTTGCAGAGTTATGTACAGTAAAGCTCCCCACTCTCATACATGTATTTTTTTTTAAGAACAATTCGGATATGTGAGTGTACACAGTGTGTATCAAATCAGTATATACACTGTGTGCACAATCAAAGTCCGAACGGTTCTTTCTGTTCGGACTCCGCATAGAATAATTTATCATAAATGGAAGGCAAAGAGTGAGAGCAATAATTTAGTGTAGTTCACGTACCACAGCTATAGTATTACTTGTATTTGCAGAGCCTAATCTTTTGCAGAAGTTAATCACATTTATTGCAGTTAATTTACTGCATTTAGAATCGCCTATTTGTAGATATAATTTAGAATTTTTTTGTGTTTCAGATGAATTGTCTGTAATTTATGCTAAAACTTAACTGAAAAAGAAGTAAAAAGTTCTAAGTAGAATTACAAGTTTTGGTTGGTGCTGAGGAAGGCTGCTATTTTTTTTTTTTTTGGAGGTTTTACCATTTTGGTCTTCTGTAATGCTCTTAAATGGCAAAATTATTGGAATGTATGATGCCATGGTGTGGTAGAGGATTAATTATTATGTGTGGATGTTGAACGTCGTCCAGAGACCAATCATAATGCGCCATATCATCCCTGTGCTGGGTATCGCAGCTCGTATTGCTGACGTGGCGGCGCATTCTGGTTGGTCTCCGGATGGCGTTCAGCGTCTTATCTCTGCAAAGAATAATTTTTCGTGGTAGAGGGGGTTTTGGTGTAATAACCAACATTCATCAGAACAATGAATCTGCTAACGACTATTTGGGCGAATAAGGATGTTTTTTTCTGCAAATATAAAAAGATGAAAATTTTTAGTAGTGTTGTGGTTCTGAACATTAGTTCGGCGAAGCAACAGTGCTAAGCTATTTGGACTACAATAACTCTGAAAATGGTATGCAGTGTTGCAGCGTTGGTCTATATTTCTTTCTTCTCCACCATATCATTTAAGGGTTGATTGGTTTACTAAAAAAAAATGAAGTGTAAAATAAATATTTTGAGACTGTTTGGTTGTCTATTGTCTATAAAGTGAATAAATGGGAACTATTTTTCCTGTTTGATTGGATGAATATAAAATAAAGCAAAATCTTATTACAAGCAATTAGTATTAGAAGATTATCATATTAATGTAATGGGAGGTGGATATATAGAAAATAAAAAGTTGTCATCAAACATAACTTTGTCCCAAAACATAGAAATCTATAGCAAGCCAATTCCTTCATTTCAAGTTTTCAATAAAGCTCCTTAGGGTTTAATTTAAAGGTACAAATAATGATTCCAAAATATTGATGTGATAAACTTATAGCTTCAACATTATTTTTGGCATTCAAAAGATATATTTTTTATTAGTTCTCCTTGTATATAGGGGCCGAATCAGCTTTAATTTAAGAGTAATTAAATATTAAAATAAATAAATTCAAAGTGAAAAGTTATTTTATGATTGATAAATAAAAAAAATGATTACAAAATTTTCATTCTATGGCCACCACCTCCGCAATTACGTGAGGGCATCTGTACCCAGCGGTACCGAGCATCCGTCAATGCTTGTGCCGGACGGGCACTTCGCACCTAATAATCTCTCCTTCAATTGACAGTGCATCATTTCTCTAGTGAAGATCATTGCATCACTATATAAATTAAGTTATTCAATATTTGTTTAAAATAAAAATTTATTTTTATATATCAAATATACTTTATTTTCAACCAATATCTAAATAAAATAAATAAATAAAAATGAAAAAAAAAAATTCTTAAATGTTTCCTTAGAAACTAATTAAATAGTAATCACATTAAAATCTTAGACGAACTAAACTAAAATAATAATAATTACTGTCCACAATGGACCAAAAAAAAAAACAAGTACTGTCTTTTAACTTGTCAGACAATTACGTGGCATAAATCCATTAGTTCCTTATTGTGTTTCCTACCATCTACTGTGCAAGTAACTCTTACAGCTAAGGGCATCTCCAACCGAGAACTCAATTTTTCACGATAAAATACAGCAAAGCTCCAAAATTTTATGATTATGCTCCAATCAAACTCCATTTTAGATGCTTCTGCGAAGGTAACGATCCTTCTCCCCTTTCGCACGTTTTTTTTGTCAAATCCGATTGAGAGAGCAAAATAGCGTGGGTGAACAGTGCAACGCCAATATTGATGTCGCGTTGTTCACCCGCAAGTAAATGACGAAAGATTTGGCGTTCGGCTGGAGCGACTGAACGACGTCATACGCACGTTTGACGTTCGGTTGGAGATGCTCTAAGCCCCCATTCACATGGTAGGGTAGCCTGAGCTCGGATCAGAAAGAAAGAAAAAATGTTATTGCCACAACTAAACTTTTTCATTTATTCCATAGTTGCTTTCACACCTAAAACAAGGGGCAGTGGGGTATATTAAAAATTTTTAGGGGATGCAAGGAAAATACATCGATCTCTTGCAACCAGAAGCGATCAACATGCAACAAATGTAGACACCTACGAGTTTTTGTGAGGGATTCACCGTCCACCAGAAAATATAAAAAGGTTGTGATAAATGCCAATGTCTATGAGCAGCATCATAAGGTTTATTAGTACACGACGATGCATAAAGTAGTAAATGACCTGTAAACCCTAAACCCTAACGTTGCGATATGATTCACTCGTAAGCAAAAACAGAGAATCAGCAATAAAAATAGTAGGCCACCAATAAGCTGAGGTAATAAATTTGTGGTGCCATGTTATCACACTAGGTAAATCAGCTTAGTCACAAGAGATAAGTAGGAGTTTCCTAACGCACCGTGCAGCTCATATGTAGGCTGAAGCATATTCTCGTAGGCTAAATGTTGAGGAAAATAACAACTTGTAGAAGACAAGATAAACTAAACAATGTTGTCAATGCATGACAAATGAAACTTAACGTGTTGCTAAACAACGTCACACCACCAGATCCGCAACATGCATAAAAGCGAACAAAAGACGTCTATCAAATCCAAAACCAAAATCTTGCATGCATGTCAACAAGGGTCATTTGCATAGCTGATCACTGCAAAAACACCTCCCTTCATGCATTAATTTATGATTACCCGCATGGACCCCAACAAGCATTTTGAATGCGTACACACGTGAAGTCCGAGGATGTTGCGCAAGTCAAACGATGAACTTAATATCAAGCTTGATCCTTCTATGTAATAGATAGGAGTCGACATGACTCGAATCATCAAACAAATATACGGTTATGGTGTTGACCAGAATATTTATTTTATATATTCATATTAGACATTCAAGGCCTATAACAATAAAAACATATTAATAAAAGCGATGGCGAACCCAATCTTTTGTCGACAAGTAGACATAGTCGATAAGGTTTAACCGACAAAATAAAATTGCTCATAAATACCTCAATGATGGCTCTGTAGACAAAAAATCTCAACCTGATGGGACCACAAACATTTAAAATAACTCCTAAATTCCCATGAGAAATTCAAACTCACAAAAAACTAAAATATTTAAAATTGAAATAAAGCATCATACACTTAAAGCAAAATCCATCAATCATCCGTAACAATTTGCTAATGGAGACAAATTCGAAAATCATTTATGCTCACAAAGAGCGAATGTCTGGTCATGAATATTACTAGTATTTATTTTCAATTAGTCAGGTCCAAATTGCACCATAGGTAAACAGTTATGATTGGGATCCTCTGACTACTTGGTTTTGCCACCAAATGACATCATTATATTACGTTTATAGCAAGAGCCCGTATGTTCCTCAGTGCGTTAAATTATTGAGCAATAAATCAATAGGATATGACCGATAGGGCATAAAGCGCTCTTTTAGCTAAGATAGATTTAAATTTTTGTCCCCGTATACAAATATTCACCCTATGTCTATAAGATACCATTGGACAAAGCAACCAATTGTTGGAGATAAGGATCCTTATATGCTGGATACTACTTATTCATTTGATGACTAGCCTTAATCGAAAGTTCTCTCTTATTATCCGGATGGGTAATTAACTATATGGGCTTGCACCTATAGGAAACCAAAACTCAGATCATAAAGTGCTCGCAAAATGGGGGTGAAATCTCTGGGTAATGCTTTATTCAAAATCCAATCTGCTTCTAAGAATTTGCCTCGGAATTTACTCATTAAAACTCTCCTCAACAACTCGAAAGAAAGGCAAGGAACCACGGAGAGGCCAGGACGAGAATTTTCAGAGCCCACAATTTAATGCTTACCCTCATTTGAATTGTAGAACTGCGAAAGATTTTCCTATTCACATTGGTCCTTCACTGATTATTTCATTTTTTTTTTAAACAATTCCTCTTATCTTAAGAAAAGAAAAGTGGTCTTATGATTAATTCTAATAACAACTGTTTTCTTACTGCTAAGTGCTAACGATATGAAAACATCTCATATACAGTCTATTAATCATCAAATCCCTCCTTTTAAATATGGGAAATTGTTGGTTTAATATTAGAGTCAGATAAAACAACTTATTGTATTTTTTTTTTTTAAGTTGTTGCTTGTAAGGCTATCTCCAACTGAACGTTAAATGAGCGTTTGTCGTCCGCGAGTTGCTCCACTAAAACGTAAAAATCCTGTGCCATTCTTCCAAATGAAAAGTGCGACCCCAATATTGGTGTCACGCTGTTAAAAAAATGTCATTTTCTTCGTCAGTTGGAGAAAGAATATACTCAAAATATTCTTTTTTGATGTTATAAAATGGAGTTCGGCTGGAGCTGAGCTATTGAATTTTAGAGTGTTATTACATTTTAGAGTGAAAAATGTATTTTTCGGTTGGAGAAGCCCTTCTCACCATATTTTTACAAAACTTCACCAAGACCTCCACAGTCTAGGAATCCACTATTCCAATCCTACTATTTTAAAGACTTATTTTACTTTTTAATTTATTTAATTATATATTCTTTAATCAAAATTATAAAACAATATATCCAACGGTTCATATTGATCTCCTTGATCATAAATCGTTTATTTAGCATTTGAGTGCCTTAATGATGTCATAATATAATGATCTTGAGCTGGTCAGATTTTTCTCGTAAAATTGCTTAATTCAACTATAAGCATGCATTATTTGTAGATTGTTTGGTTCTTGAATTAATGTTTAGATGTATTGCTTACAAATATGCTCAAGTGCTTGTTTGCTTCATTTGGAGCTAGATCGAATTATTTGATTTGAGGTGTCCATGAATTCATATCATTAATATATTTTGTTTGACTAAAAATTTGTTGAAATAGAAGTTCAGATGGTAATGAATTTAATTATAGTCAAATCGAGCGGCTCGACTAGATGAATCTAATGAG